TGCCAGGTGAACACAGGTGTTGAGAAGCTAACATGCTAACACAATCAGCAGCTTACCTTGTCGACGCGGGGCAGATATAAAATAATAAATAAAATAACTTTTAAGAGCTCCTGTGCTGTCCATAGTTGGTATTATAGTGATAAGAGCAAAAACTGCTCGTAAAAATGTCACTTTTCTGTCACAAAAAAAGTCAACCAGAACCTTAAGAAGCGCATTTAAAGGAGAGCTAGCTTAAACCTTTTCATCATTCTAACGGTCAGGTGCGGCGCATGCGCAGCAGCAACCGTATGTCCTCAGCGTGTTAGCCAGATCCAATAAAGGAATATTTCAGATATTTTGAAGTGGGGTTACAGTGGAAAATTTACAAACATTTCTAAAATTTGGTGCTGCGCCTGGGACCGAAAGGTTGCTGGTTTGTTTCCCGAACTGTGAATAGTAATATCTCTTCTGCTCTAACTTCTGATGCAGCTGAGGTGCCTTTTAGCAAGGCACTAGTCCCAAACCTGAGGGCAATAACTGTAGCTGCCCCACTGCTTTGGAAGTGTTGCTCAGCTTGTGCTCGAAGGGGTTGTGCAACTTCGAAAAGGCCAAATTTCTGTCTTTAGAATGTATTTGTCTCCTTTATTTGTTAAATGAACAGCCTTTTTTAAGCCGACTCGATAAAACTAAAGCTATACGAGTTAATATATAAAGCAGCAAAAAGTACATTTATTAATTCAAAGAATGGTGTTTTTTGTGAATATAGTGGTTGTCTTTGTAAGTTACATAAAAATGGACACGGTTTCTATGAAAAGTGAATGGAGAGGTTCACGTCAACACAAATTTTCTTTTCAACTACTTTGTTTTTTCAAGAGAATTACATAAATATCCTGCAATCCGTTAACACCTCATGTAGGGGATGACTCTCGGCTACTACCACACCAAACTTTAAATATTTGCAACACCGACCAAGTTCGACACTTTTGTTTGCTAGGGATGTTAAAGTAGACAAACTCTTAAAAAGTTAAATCTGTTGTAGATGTACATTCAGTTTTTGTACTTTCATTAAAATCCAGTGGTTTAAGAGATATTCATATAACAGGTATTTACATGATCGTCCGCCTTTTACAGCTTCAGGACACAACTTTGTAAAAGAACACGTTCTTCTGCGATGCACACGTTTCAGCTTTAGGGAGTTAAAAAAAATGGTAGAAAGCTTATCGTACACATGCAAAGAAAAGAGTCAGAGAAATAAAAGTCAGAACCAAGAAAGTTTGGTAAAATATATACTTTTTTTTATTATTTATTTCTTCATACAAAGAAATATTCTGGATGTTCTTTACCGAATCTTCTGGAAGCATGGGTTCCAGCTTGCATCGTGTAAAATTAATTCCTTTGACGTACATACCACAAAATACTTGATTTGCATCCATTTCTCCTTTTCTCACACACAGATCTGCTAAGCCTAAATACATATTATACGCAGATATGAAAACATTGAACATTTCTTTTAGATCTCGAAGCAGGTTGAATAAAACTCAACCGGAACTGATGCAGCAAAACGGAGTTCACTGCAAAGGACTTTATTTCAGATATCCCCAGAACTTGAATGCAGCTTTAAGGAATTAATCTTTCCTTCCAGAATGTGCCAGCTTGTTATGAGAAGTCATTAATAAATGCTTTCGCCTTTTTTTTAATTTTTATTCAAACATTGCACTAAGGAGAGAGGAGGGTGATGAAGGAGTTCTCCACAGAGTCTCATCACTCAAACAAAAACTACAGTGCAAACAGCCTCCATCTCCCCGGCTAACGGTTGCTTTGTGGTGGCTGGTGGTAACTGGAAAAGGGGAAATTCATTGGCTAATTGTGTTGGTTAAAAGGGATCGTTTGGATGTTTTGAAATGGGGTTGTGTGGAACGGTTGCGAACAGGATTGATGAGCTAAAGGCTACCAAACGTGGATTGCTACCATCTTAAAACTGCTAAAGTTCCATAGCGGTTCACGCAACTGGTATTTTATAAACCCGTGTTTTAGCGCGGCGCGATATTGGGAAACGCACAGCTGTGATGCCAGCGTTAAAAAATTGAGACGTTTGAACTCGAGCATAAAGGTTATCCAGAACTATATCAAATGGTGCACTTTGAAATGGTGTGCTCCAGATACATTAGGACATCCTTAAATGTGGTACAATGTAAACGAAGCTTTTGGCTGAATCAGCTGAAAACCAAGTGGCAGCTTAGGTCACATGGTTGGCCTACATCAAGCTGGCTGTGGTCTGGATATGTAAGCAAATATGGAGGAATTGGATGAATCTAGAATCAACAAAATACATTTAGCTGGAAAAATAAGAGTTACTATACGAGTCCTGGAGTCATAGATCATAATATTCACAATACAGTGAATGTTTATGAAGCATTCACTGTATTGTGATATTTTTTTTTCTTCCTTAGGTTTTTCAACGAGATTCTCTTCCTCCAGTTTTTAAGCCATTTCAACAAATCATCTCAAAACGTTCAGCTCCTTCAGGACAGTCCTGCTATGACTTTCTGCAAGTTTCAGCTTTTTTTCTACTATTTCAGCTACTGTTTTTATGTTAATTTACATTATTTCAGCTAATTCCACATTTGTTGCACTCATTTCAATTTTTTTCAGCCCAATTTCGCAAAAATGCGCTCTCCGCTTCGTTCTTGTAATTTAATCTTCTTTCTGCCTTTTTAGCTACTTTTCAGCTGTTTTTTTGCTAATGTCGGCTGTTTTTTAATTTCCACTTTTTTGTGAGAATTTTTGCTTCTTTCAGCAAACATTTTCTTTCTGCTTTCTTCTGCTAATTTAAGCTTGTTCTGCCTTTTCAGCTACTTTTTTTTAGAAAATGTTTAGCTAAGTCCAACTTGTTTTCAGATAAATTCAAGATTTTCTTCGTAATTTCTGCTATTTTCAGCCTCATTATTTCTGCCAATGTCAGCTTGTTATGCTCCTTTGTTTTTTTTTTCTGCTAGTTTCAGCTTTGTCTGCCATTTCAGCTACCATTTAGCTGTTTCATGCAAATTTGATCTTTTTCAGCTAATTCCACACTTTTTTTTTAGCTCGTATCAGTTTTTACCACTTCCTTCTGGTAGGTTAAGCTTCTTTCTGCCTTTTCAGCTGTTTTTTTTTTTCTAATTTATTTTTTTGTGCTCATTTCTGCTTATTTATACCTAATTCAGCAAATATGTTATTTCTGCTTAATTCTGCTAAGTTGGCCTTGTTCTTACATTTCAGCATGTTTTTAGCTCATTCCAGATGTTTTTCAGCAAGTTCTTCTGCATTTTTGCAGGAAATGCACTTCTCCAGTTGGTGTAATGTCAAACTGACACTGCTGTAAAGGTTTAAAAAGAGCATTTCCATGGACAGATATGAAATTTTTGAAACTGAAGTGGGTTTAAGTGGCAGCCACCAATATTTGGACTAACTCTCAGTTTGTCAATTCTGTCAAAGTTTAACTCCATCTACAACAAGAAGTGTATTATTTGTCCATAACCTTTCCACAGAACCCCACTTCAAAATGTCCAAACTTTCTCTTCAGAGGCACAAGATCTCAATAACTCTAAAACTCATTTGTTAGCATAGCTTGTGTACATTCAGTCTGGGCTCTGCATTAAAAAAATAAAACATAAAACCCTTCTCTGGATGTCGACAGCCCCTTCCCATGATGCCAGGACTTACAAGCGAAGCATGCATAGTTTTGCACAGGATAACACGCTGCAACACAGTTACCACCCTCTGCAGAGACTCCTCATCAAAGACTGATAACCGCACACCTTCTCACACTTGCATATCAAGAATTCAAGTAGAAAGTGAAAAGCTAAGGGGGAACGTGTGGGGGAGGGGCACTGATAGTAGCTAAATAGTGTGAAACATTTCAACCTAAAGGACTTTTTGGCAACGAACAGAGTTAAGATCTGTTGTGAAAAGTGAAACTTGAGGATGGATAAGGCATGAAGTACATAGGCCATGCGTGACGGCACATGACACCAGAGGTTAGAGACCCTTGCCTGAGATCATTCCTGCTTCGTGAAAACCGCTCATGGTCCTTTGATCTCTTCAGTTTGCGATCAAGAGATGAAGCCTGGTGGAGTTCATCCGTTTGAACAAACGTCATTTAAGTGAGGCAAAACCGTTTCGTCATCTTTATGCAAGATGCCCGGCAGATATGCCTCTGCAGCCTCACGCAAACGTTTTCCATCTCGGTGAAAACAAGCAACACGCTCCCCTTCCACGACCTGCCGAAATTCAGCTTTCTTCTCCTCCACAAATCAAATATCTCTCAGGGAAATTTGACTGAGACTTTGCGTGACCTTTGAACTGTACGGATAGGGCAAGAGTTTGGCTCTGAGTCAGAGCTGCTTCTAATGGGCGGGAAGAGTTGGGAAGCGGGAGCTCCATCGATCTGCCGGTTACCTTTTACCCGATTAGCATAATGTTAACATGGGGCGTGATGCGGGCCGAGATGGGATTTACCGTTTGATGGATGGGTCGTTCATTAGAGCAGGCAGCGGGAGCGCTGAGAACGAAAGGGCAGCTGTATACTTTCAGCATGAGCGACACAATGAGTATCAATTAGGCCTATTGATCAAGCAGTTATTGAGTGGAATGGGACATGGGAGCAATGCCGGTGCACGAAAATGAACCAAAAACGTCAAATACGAGGATGAAGAGGATGATGCTAATACAAGACGCACACGGATCAGTGTTCTCCACTTCTCCGTGAGCGTTCTGTACCCGTAATGTGCTGCTGCTCGATTTTCTGGCCCTCCTCTTGTTTCGACGGCAGCAATTGCTGAGTTTCCAAACCCACAAGAGTGGAGCAAAAACAATAACTAAAGATCAAAACCTAAGATGAGGAATGTTAAAAACAACACGTGTCAGATGTTACACACAAATCTGGTTAGGCAGCTTAGTGAATTAATTGCTTAGAAATAAAAATAAATTATTATAAAATAGATTTCTGTACATTTTACATATATATATATAGCAATATCTCCACTTCTTGACAATGAATTACATAAAAAAAAGAACATATTTCACAACTTCTAAGTCAATCCCAACCAAAGTTATGTCCGGTCATCTGGTAGAACTTCATGTTGAAGGGTCTGTAGAAGTCCCGTAGCCTCTGGACCACCTCAGGATCAATGTTCGGATGGGTTCGCCCTTTGGTTTTTCCCAGGCAGTGGGGCTTGCTGCTGCCCTCTGCTTTCTTCAGGCACGGGAATCCCTTAGTCTGGTTGAAGTAAAAGTGTTTGTCTGTGATGATCCTCTTGAGGCCCAAGAAGTCCTGGACCCGGCCCAGCTCTCCGGCCGGGTCGCTGATCAAACGCTCGCCGCTCACAAAGAGGATCTGGTCCATGGGGAAGTACTGCAGCCAATTGTCCAGGTGTTTGGCGTAGATGCCAATCTGGATGGCGCTCCACGAGGTGTCGATCAGACCCGTAGTCCTGTTTTTGAAGGTGAGGCTCTCAAAAGAGGGAATATCAGGCTTCTTGGACAGAGTCTGGGTGTAGTCTGAGATAGCTCTGGTTACCGGGTCCCTCACTACCACGATTAGTTTGGTGTCCCGGGACATGGCGGAGATCCTCGCTGGAGCTTCTCTGGTCACAAAGTAGCTGGGGGTTTTCTCCATGGTGATCTGGCCCTCCAGGGTTTTTGGCATCAGATCCCTGAAGGTAAAAAAAAAAGACATGAAGAAGATTAAAAAAAAAAGGTAAAATCAGAGAAAAGTCTTGCATAATGTAATCAAGTTGATGGAGTGTATGTTGTTTTGCAATCAATGACTCACTGAGGCTGTTTAGGCTTATTATAGGGCTGTAAAGCTATTAGTGCAGGCAGCTCTCCAACATCAACAAGCTCAGTCACTCAGGCGGCTCACTTCTTACTAAACAGAAAACCTTCATTTACAGTGCAGTCAAACCCAGCGAAGCCTTAATTTAACCATACTGGGGATTAAGGGCCAAGTTACCTCACCTTACCTTACCTTTAATCCTTAAATCTTACAATAGTTTCTTAGAAAGTTTACAGTGGCATTTTTTGAATTTGTGTGTAAATGTCATTCCTTGTTAAGGTTCTCTTTCACCAAAGATCATTAAGAGGTTTGTAGACTCGGGCGTAAAGCTTTGGATCACAGCCAGTTATGGACCCACTAAGAAAAAGAAGCAATATTCTTAAAGATGAACTAGGCCTGTCACGGTAACAAATTTTGCTGGGCGATTAATTGGCTCAGAAATTGTTGCGATAAACGATAATATTGTTTGAAATTTGACATTAATTAGTTATTATTTATTTAAGAAGAAATGTTGGTTAATTTGTTTTGCATGTAGTATCTTTCAGCCACCAGATGGCAGTATAAAACTGTTTAAACCAAAGGATGGATAGCGAGGGAGCGAGCAGCGTGTCTCTAAGAAAAATGGGAGGGAGGCCCCTTGACGTGACATGGGCTGTCTCTCTTCGGTTCTCAAAATGGCAGACGCTCGGTGTGGTTTGAGTTCTTCAGCATAGCATTTTTCACACAAAGCTTTTAATAATAATAATTTAAAAAAACAGTAAACAAGTTCTCAGCTTCTTTTTGCAAAGAAAAACAACTTTTTACACAAAGGCACAGGTTTCAACCATGAATTTTGGAGCTTCGACAAGATGGAGGTTCCTAAGATGAAGTATGTTACAAAAAGTAGAAACTGGCTGATGGTGGTCCTTTTCGATACATGCAGAGAGAACCAAGTGGTACTTTAGAGCAACTGCTTTTGAAGGAAAAGCGCTCTCTCAGCATTAGATTTCAGATATGGTGGCAAACCGCAGAGGCTAATTTATGGTGAAGGCGATAAAAGCGGTCTGACTGACACTGGGAGGGGTATCACCTTTCCCAGTCTGGCCCCGGCACCAGGAAGAAGCCCAGCCAGTGTGATCTACATGGGATCAAACGTTTTTTCTGGCTCAGCGTATAGAAGAGCCTCAAATTATAGGCTAAAGGGCCGTTACACGAAAGATGTTGCAGATGCGCTGCAGCCCCTGAACAGAAAGCTAAAATTGAACCAGATATCAATCAGACTTCCTAATGCAAAGTCAGTGTAATCCGAGTAAACAGCAGGTAATCGTCAGCAGAATTCACAAGACGCCTCGCTCACTCTCACAGATAAGATTTCTGTTGACCCCTCCAAAGCCTTTGTTTGTTTGATACGACGGATCTCCATTCAAATTTGTTGTGATCAATGTGTTTACAAACTGAAAGCATAAAGACGGACACTTCCCGTGCACCCAGAAACCTGAAAATGTTCCCTAGACATTCGCTGGCTTCTCTGAAATGCGCCGCAAAAGCTAGAATCTAGTTCATGCCCATCTAGCTCATGGGTAATTCATGGAACAGCTCTCTGACAGCGCAACTATTCGTGCGCAGGAACCTTCTCGTGAAGATACGGGAAAAGAGAAAGCATCCACGGTAACGTTAAGCAACCAATAAAACGTTTTATGGAAATTGTGTTGGCAGATTTGTGTAATCCCCACGCCGCACCAGTGATCTAATTATGATAACATCAACTTGATTGCCGACACATCGGAGGGGTGAATGGAGCAAACGGAGGGAAGGAGATTCTCTTCCCAGAAGCTCATTAATAGCCCGATGAAATCAAAACAGATCTTGCATGTGGTTTTTATCCAGGAGCATGACAGAACTGGCCAAACGATCCTGGAGACAACACGTGTACCATCAAAAGTATGTGACGCAACCTCTTACTGTTCAAACCGAACATCTCGACTCGTATCAGTTTTTTTTTTTGATGCACTATTGCGATTTTGCTTGCAAGCTTTTTGTCCCTACTTCTGCCAACACACACCAAGTGTCCACGACTGAAGCGCTCCCCACGTAAGCTGATTTCAACACGACAATGCAGCACGGAGGCCTCAGTTACAATGTGCATAGTGACAGATTATGCTGATCCAAGCGCAGAGAATGCTTCTTTTCTATATAAAAAAAGAAAACATCTAGTGTTGGGGGTTGCAGGAGCATAAAACAAGGGGATGGTCTGACAGCAAGGGTGGGGAGGGGAAAAGAAAAGTGGTGAGGAAACTCTTAAAAGGCGCCAAATCGACAAGAAAAGGACCCCTCGAATAAAAAATCTCCACCCCTGACTTTGCCCACTTTTGCTGCCAAAGAAGCCAAAAAAAGTGTGGGGGAGAAGAGGAGGGGAATTTCAGTAGCTCTTGGAGAAACAATGACCATTATGTTCCTTTTTGATTTATGAGGTGCTGCTTTTAAAGGTTTCGTCAGCAAACAGGCAACTCTGTGACACCGGGCTCCTCTTTCTTCCTGCTTTTCTTTCAAAGTGGACCATTGTTCCTGGGCGGAGGGGTGAACGGGGCAGTGGTCGGGGCAGAGGGGCGGGGATGGGGGTAGGGTAAAGCAAAGGCAGATAGTGGAGGAGGGAAAAAGGATGGACGTGGAGAGGGGGGCTCGTTGCTCCGATGAGTGGAGCACTTCTCCATCCTTCAACCTCAAGAGAGAGAAGCCTTTTGGAGAGCTCTTAAGTGAACGTGTGCCAAAATTACCCTGCAAACAAAACCCCGCTCCTCTTAGATAACGACCAACTCCACAGGGTCCTACTGTCTGGAAAAAATAATATCAGCACACAAAGCTCTTTATTGGCCTGCATTTGCTCTAAGTAAATCTTCGTCCGCTGAGAATAGTTCCAAGTTGAAAGCCAAAAACAGTGATAAGACAGAAAGCAGTTGCCCAGTGGCCCTTCGGCCTGTTTTAAAAGAGTCTGCATCCTTGTCGGAGCTAAACGGGGGGCAGGAAACAGGTTATTTCTGTCTGATACCTCTGCCTCCCTCCTGTCACGTTTGATTTGATAATAACGGGCTGCCGCTGAGCTGCCTGTGTCAAAGCATCGCTGACAAAATAACTAGTTAGCTCGCAGACAAAAGCAAAAAAAAAAAGAAGCTATTTGTCGATTTTTCTGTTTGATACAAAAAGGTTTTCAATTGTCTCACATGTCTGCATGTCGAAAAGCATTTGAATCTCAAATGAGCGTTTGTGTATTTAAATGCAGACAAATGAGGGGGACATTTTGTATCTGGCAGCAAGGAGAGGGTGTGGCGGTTGAGTTCGAGGCTGTTTCCAAGTGAAGACCCTGGAGTGAGCGCCATCTCCCAGTGGGAGGCAACACCACCCAGAATACAGCGCAGACACAAGAAGGGTCTCCAGGCTGAATTAACCCATCAGAATAAAACAGAACAAGAAAAGCCAAATAAATCAAACAAGACTTTATTCAAAGAACCCCGAGTTTAGTTTACGCGTCTAACCCTTATGATCTACGAAGTTCACGCGACCTCTCGATGTCAGGGTTTGAAGTCCGATGGGAAAGTGATGCTTCACAAGTGGGAAGAAAGAGCGAGAGGAAATTAGGATAAAAACACTGAAAGACATCCTTTCTTCTTCGAGGACCTCTTAAGCGAGCCCTTCTCATGAAGACAACGGTCAGACGGTTTCGGGAAATACAAAGAGCTCTACTCCTTATTAGCAGATAAGATCTTGTGCACTACTTGGTCGTTCGCACCCAAAATTGTCCTGGTTTGGATTTTTTTTTTAAACTCAAGAGATGACGAGTATTTGAGACGATGTGCAAATAACTAACTTTCAGTTTTGCACTGCTTTCAAAAACTTTTATGTTCTAGGCATGGCCCAGAATAAGATTCTGAGCTTTAAGCAAAAGCATCTTTATCAAAGTATTACAAAAACAACATAAGTATTTGAAAATGCATCACGATTTATTTGCTTTTAATTAAAAACAAAAATTATAACCATCATTTAGGTAGCTAAACAATACCACATATTGATTTCTTAATGAAATTAAAAATAAAATCTTACTTCTAACCTACAAAGCTCTCAACAACCTAGCTCCATCTTATATTACTGATCTTATTGTTCCATATTTTCCTAACAGAGCACTTCGCTCTCAGACTGCAGGTTTACTCGTGGTTCCTAGAGTTTACAAAAGCAGAATGGGAGGAAGATCTTTCAGTTATCAGGCTCCTCTCTTGTGGAACCAACTTCCAGTTTCTCTCCGTGACGCTGACACATGGTCCAGTTTTAAGACTTTACTTTTTGATAAATCCTATAGTTAGGGTTGGCTTGTTTTGCTGCTATAGGCTTAGACTACTAGAGGACAAATTGACCTAATTTCCTTAAATGAGTTGTTAAAATTGATTAGTTTTAATTTGATACTATTTCTATCTTAACATGCGATTCTTGACCTGCCATTGTGTATCTGTTCCTCTCAAACCCAGCCAGTCGAAGCAGATGGCCGCTTGTCCCGATCCTGGTTCTGCTAAAGGAAGTTTTTCCTTTCCACTGTCGCCTTCATGCTTGCTCAAGATGAGAGTTCTGTGATGGAGTTCAACTCAAAGCAGTCTGCTCCTCAGAATAATAATGTTAAATTATTATTTTTATATATGAATGTTTCTGCTGAGACGACTTCTGTTGTGACATGGCGCTTTATAAATAAACTGAATTGAAATAGAATTGAATTAATGATGCTTATTTGACAGATATAACTGTTTAATACTACTAAACATTTATTTATAGATATGTTAATTTTACTGCACATAAGGAGACCAAGAGAAAACATTTCATTCTGCACTTAAGACAGATTTTAAACTAAATTGTGGTCAA